TTCCACAATTGGAAAAGTAATTACTTATAAAATTTAAGATCCCCCATCCTAAAAATTTCAGAAATTCGAGGCTTCGAAACAATACACCTGGAAAGCAAAAAATTCTAAATTCCGAAAATGTCAGAAAAATTCACCAGGCAAGCCCAAAATTAAACCTACTAAATCTCCAATCGAGAAAGTTCTCAGATCAACCCTGAGAACCACCTTCGATCACCTAGATCAGAATTTTCGTCGATGAAAATTCCGGAAACCAGCTCGACGAAAGAAACCTACACCCTTCCTTCTCGGTTCACGTACAAAACTCAATAGGCCAGGAGCTTCTAGCCGGCTTAATGGCGGTCTTTACGCGAATAAAAGAATTTGTAGACGCACTTCACTTACCCCTTCGCAGCTTCAGGGTGACGGGGTCCGACGAGAGCCGCAGACATTTCAGCACTGAAACACAAAACGACGGAATACATTGAGAAAAAGACGTTTGCAAGAGAGCGAGGAACAGAAAAACTCTCCGTCTCTTGCGAAAAAGAAGAAGAAGAAGAAGAAGAAGAAGAAGAAGAAGAAGGGAGAACGAAGCAGACCGAGCATCGTGTCGCATGTTTGCCAGCTAAATTTCCAGACAGACGTTCCCTCGTTTCGGATACACGCGGAAAGCTGGCCGCCTCGTATTTGGATTAACAAGAGAAACGACTTACGAGCGAAAAGGACAGCTAGCAGCTTTCTGAGGCTTGCAATTTTCGAGAAAGGTTAATCGTTCCAGGCGTACCTCGGTTTTAAAGGCACGGCAAAATGGAAAATTTAGCTTGACGCGGTAATGGGACAGGGTGAAGATGAGTTTGGCCTAAAAGAGATAGGAGGAATGTGTTTTGTGTGATTAAGATGGTGGTTAGTGTCGAGTGGGTTTAATTAAGGAGGGTGGAAGAGGTCTGTCTTGGCAACGGTGAATTTGCTAACTTCAAGGAACGATTCCTCCGGGAATTGTAATTGATATTTCCTACAAAATTTTCTTGCACGCTTAACAATTAACCGTGATACGGTCGTCGGGTCTTCTCTGACCCGTCGTCTTCTTATTTTTTTCAGGAATTCTTGACTTATCAAGTTTGGATTTCTTTAACGTCATATTAAAAGGTGTATATTTTTGGAACACTTTACAATTTTAACCCTAATACTGTCGTCGGGTCTTCTCTGACCCGTCATCTTATTTTTTTCAGGAATTCTTGACTTATAAAGTTCGTATTTCTTTAATGTCATATTAAAAGGTGTATATTTTTTGCACACTTTACAATTTTAACCCTGATACTGTCGTCGGGTCTTCTTTGACCCACTGTCTTTTTATTTTTCTAATAACTTTCGCTGTTATAAAATTTATACTCCCTTAACATTGTATTAAAAGTTTACAGACAAGTTTGCCTCTTTTGACCGCACTATTTTCATTTTTAGAATGCACTAGGATTAAAAATTCCTCAAAGAGGACCATTAACCCTTTCACTGCAATCGGCGCCTATAGGCGTTTCGAAAACCTTAAAATTCAATCCTCAATTCGGTCCATTCCACGCTTCTACCTTAATACAACAAACCAAATTTCAAAACATTACAGTCAAAACAACAAATTTTGCAGCCGTGGTTAAAACTACACACGCTAATCGCTAAAATCTGTCGCAGCGAGAGGGTGAAAACGGCGCGAAGAAAATGAGCCAACAAAATCACCCAAGAATCCTCTGAAATCTAATCACAACCGAGCCATCCGAGGACAACTCTCGAATCTCGACAATGATTACAAAAAAACGTCATCTCGAAGCTCCGAACAAATTCGCCCGTGCCAAAGACCATCGACAAACCTCCAACCTCTTCCTCTCTCCTCCATCTATCCGCGTGGCGAACGTCCCGCAGGAGCGAAACACGCTGACGTCCCCTTTTTCCCCGGCAACAACCGTCGTCGGGCCAAGTTTACCAATTATATCGGCGAAACGCAAACGCTGGTCTCGCGCGCGCGCGGCGTGGTTCACGGTTCACGGAACTGAAATATTGCTTCGTGTCTGTCCGCGATGTCAGCATGTCAAATTAAACGGGAGCCAGAGGAAATACGGTGGCGGGCCGATATTGCACTGCCTCGGCTACGCTGCTTTACGCTCGGCCACACCGTTTTCCCCGCTTGTTCCTTGCGAGGCCAGAGGCCTCGTGAAACGAACGTTCCTTGATGGTTCGCTCTCTCTCTCTCTCTCTCTCTCTCTCTCTCTCTCTCTCTCTCTCTCTCTCTCTCTCTCGTGCCATTTCCAACCGGAAAGGCCATCGTTTTTGAACCTCTCGCGACTCGTTGTTTAATTAACCCTTTCGCCGCGGCGAGCTTCAGACGGAAAGCTCTCGTTGTTTGCTGCACCAGAGAGTTATTATTCAACGCTGTCACACGGAACGCTCTTAGAATTCTTCGTGGACCTTTTAGGATCGGCGGTTTTTCGGGAGAGCTTGGAGGATTTTTGTGGCAGATAGTGGAATTTTTCAAATTCTGGGAAAAATTTGCTGAGGTAAAAATTGAGGCCTTTTGATGGGAGAAGGGCATATATGACAGAATGCTGTTTCGAGAAAATCGATTTGAAAGGTTTTGTTATTGTACTGCTTAATAAAACGTGATGTAATTGAGTTCAAAAGAGAATTTAATTTTTATCATATGTTATTACACTACCGGTCAAAAGTTTGGAATCACTGTGCATTGCAAGTTACAGAAAAATTTGCAGAAAAAAGTCATCGATCGATATGAGATAAATTGCTATTTATCTCCACAATATCAAGTCTATGAAAAATTAGTAGCAGATTCAGTACTGATGAAAATTGGGAGGTGATTCCAAACTTTTCGCCGGTAGTGTATGTATACATATAAGACATACCCGAGTCGACTTAATCGATTTGAGGAAAATCATATGTGCCCTTTTTCCATCAATTGCCTTAATTCGTGAAGGTAAGATTTCGATGAGATTTTCTTTTTTTTTTATTTGAATTTTTTATCGTTCCAATATTTTGTGTGAATTCTTCCATTAACCATTACACGATACTAATAATTTATTATTTTCTGGAATTAACATACGCACTTCTCGAAATTGTTCGCAATTCTTGAAATACACCAGTTTAACTTCTAGAACGCGAACTTTTATACCCAGCGATAGTGTCTAATCTTCAAAATAAATCTACCTCAACACATCATTCCATCGATACAATTAAATTCACTTCTTCCTAGCAATAAACGTCGTTTCATAACGCAATCTTCCCAATTCCACAAAACTCGAGCTTAAAATAGGCGATAAATTCGCGGAACAATATTATTACACTCGATCTTCCAAACTCGCAAAACCACTTATCTTATCGATATCCAGTATCTCTCTATCGAACGATCTAAAGATTAAACAGCCACGACACGAAGGATTAAAGTCCATCGTAAAAACGTGTCTATTATTTCACACGCTATTATCCCGCCTGCAAAACCCATGATTCACTCTGCGAATCAAGCAAACCTCCTCGGAGCAACGTATTAAAAGAAATTTTTTTCAAATCGGAAGATCGTTAAAAAGAACCCAACTTGCTCTGTCGGTAAGTAGAGGAAACTTCGTTACATCCTTTCGAAGCGTAACTCGAATCGAAAATTGAGGTAGGAACTAGGCAAAAGGTAACTACATTGTCGATATAAAATTAAGCAAGGGTCATTTCGTTTGATGCATCACGCGAGTCCGCCATTAATACGGTCAATCAAGTGTCCCATTTCGCGAATTCAGCGTCGCGTCAACCGCTTCATCGTAAAATTCCCGCTAATAGCCTGGCCTCAGAGAGAGAGAGAGAGAGAGAGAGAGAGAGAGAGAGAGAGAGAGAGAGAGAGAGAGAGAGGGCTAGGATATATGAAATCCTCGACGTGACACATATAAACGTGAAATTCGCGGAGAAAAGAGATTCCACGCGGAAGGAAGGGACATTTTTTAACAAACTCCGTTGCTTATGAGCAGAACTTCTTTCTTTCTTCTTCTTCTTCTGCTCGTCCCCGGTCCAAAGTGATTCACCGACGCTTCTAACCGGATTTTTACTCGAGATTACTTGTAACTTTGAGTCCAGCTCGTTCGTAATTTCATTTCGCTTATCGTTCTCTCTCCCCTTCGACCCGTCTATTTTCACGAGTCCGATGAAATTTCTTTCGGAGACCTCGTTTAACTTTCCTTTCTTCCTGCCGCGCTGTCGCTGGCGATTAATCTGAAGGCTTTTCTCGCCTCGCGGATTTTTAGGCGAATCGCGATTTTTGTGAATTGTGTGTTTTGGAGAAGTACTGCGGTTTTTAAGGGGTAATGGTATTGTTGTTTGCGTTTCGGGATGGGGAAATGTGTGAATTTTAAGGGGTTTAGAAATATTGGTGGGTTTTTGTTGTGAAGAAATTGTGAAAGGAATTAAACTAGTATTGCACTATATTAATATTTCGAGTAAAACACGATTGGAGAACTGAAATATGGTTTCTTCTTTCTTTTCAGAATTGGAGGATTTATTGTCCTTTTAAGGAATTAAAGAACCGAAATTTCGTTCCTTTCTTCCAAATTCGAATATTTATCGCCATTTTAAGTAATTGAACAACTGAAATTTGGTTTCTCCTTTTTTTTCAAAATTCCAATATTTATTGCCATTTTAAAGAATTAGAGAACTAAATTTAGGTTCTTCTTTTTTTTTTCAAAATTCAAATATTGCCATTTAAAGAAAAACAGATCAAGTCGTATTTCTAATTAGCGACTGATTAATTACAATAGTTGAATAAAAAACTGTACGCACAGAAAGAAGAGAAAAAAATCGAGAACGAACCCGTACACAGAAAGTAATCTCCATAAAAATTGAGAAGCCTGTTGATGAACCTATTCATACGAAAAATTAATTTCGCAGAGGATAAAGTAAATACATTAAAAAAAAAAATACACGAAACAAAACGAAATAAACAAAATCGACACAAAATAGAGAAGATAAAACACAGAGAAAGGATTAAAAATTTAAATTAAAAAAACCAAAATACTAAAGCACAGAGTAAGTATTGAAAATTGAAACATCTTCCTACAACTTTCAAAAGTTACCGTTTAAACCAGGCGTGTCCAACCTGCGGCCCGCGGGCCGCAATGTGGCCCTGAACAGCGCAATGTAAACTTTGAACGTTATTGTGTGATTTTTAGCGACATTTTTCACGACTCAATTGCATTATGATAAAAAATATTAAAAAATAAAGGAGGTTTCGTTACTTATGTACGATTCACTGTATTATACATTTCGTATGGCCCAGGCAAATCGAAAGGTTGGACACCCATGGTTTAAACCGAATGCATGAATCCACCGAATGAATCGTACCAGAATAATTCACAATTCCATCTCTTCGAATAATTAACGAAAAAAAAAAAACTCGGTAACCTTCGTCGCGTTTCACCGATACCAATTACTCTTATCTCGAACATTTCAACCGAACAAACACTTTTTACACGACTGACGGAAGACACTTGACAGACGAGAAGAGGTTAAAGCTTACAAAACAGATTCTCGATTACCATAAACAATCGTTAACGATGCAAAAAATTCTTTCGCTTACGTATACGATTCTCCTTGGTGTTGTCCAATTCTATCTCGATAGCCATTCCCCGTTCTCCACGAATTTTCCACGAATTTTTACCTTCGAATGGTGCGAACGAAAACGATGACAATCCGAAACTGGTGTATCGCGGACAAAATGCGAGCAGAAACGAAACGAGCATCGCGACATTTTCTCGAAATTCAACGGTGTAGAGAAACTCTCTCCTCGGGTAGTCTCGCAATCTTTGCATACAGCAATAATGTTATTCGTCGAAGATATTCACCGAAGATGGTATTCATTGAAGGCGCGCCGCCGACTTCCAATCGATTCCCGTCCACTTCCCGGACTCAGCTACCTCCGAGACAATCTTACCGTCGTTGCACATACATAGATAAGGATATTCGGAGGAAATACTGATTTCCAACTGGGAATTTCATACGTAGTTTCCGTCCACAGAATTTTCTTCTCTTTTTTTTTAATACTTTGCGTGACCGGTGGGACAAATACGAGTGTGAATGAAGTGCGATCGTGTGTGGAGTGTTGGGGCAAAGTGAATCTCAATTTATTAGAGCATTTAAGAATTTTAAAGAAGAAATTTAGAAGGAATATTAATTGGAAACGAAAGGGTTAAATATTTGAGCTCCAAATTTTAGAAATTTAACATGTCGCTTTACTTTCATTCAGAGAAGTATTTGATTAAAGCTTCTTAAAAAAAGGAAGTGGTTTTTTTGAAGGACGAGAGAAAATTCATATTTTAACCTTCTCACCGCTATTGGTGCTGTTAGAATTATGGTAATAAATTAAAAGATATTATTTTAATTATGAATCTTCTTTATTTTTTATACGCGAGGAAGGCACGTCGCTATGCAATCAATCAAACAAAACATCAGCAAGACGCAGAGAAAAAAAAACATATCTGCGTCACCCATACTAAACAGATGGTTACTATGTTATTTCTATATATATATATTTATATTAATCTGTCTCAGTATGTTGATTATTTTTGCCATTACTATTACACAGACACATACACATTTCTCCTTATGATTCAACAGGCGCTCTGAAAATTTTCTCGCACTCTGCTGTTGATGACTTTTGGTACACTTTCGCGTTAATTCGATCCTTAAATTTGGTTAAAATTCGATCCTTCGAGTACTCTCGTTTCAATTTAGCAACAGAAATTTAAAAATGATAAATTTTCGATGTTTTTCAATTTTCAAACACCAAAACGAAAGATTCTGCGGATAATCGCCGTAGCGAAAGGGTTAAATGCTGGCCCCCCAGCAAGGATAAAAAGAGGGCCGATCTACGATTTTTATGGACAAAAACGGATACTTGCTCCAAGACGCTCCCTTGTGTGGACATCGAACGGACAAAAATCCTGCCTGGCTCCGACTTTGCTCCCTGGCGTGGACAAATCCGGACCACGAGGCAACGTTTAGATCCGTCTACCCAGTTAACGTTTCCGCGCCCTTTTGGTGAACGTGCGATAGTGACCGAGTGACAAGGACAAACTCGAAAACAGACGTTTAACGCTGCAGACGAGTGCGGTAGCTCCGATAATAGTGGCACAGTGTTCTCGTGAGGTTGCGATATTTAAGTGTAGTCGGCCCGAACCCCACACAACCTAAGACGCGAAGATCCCGCACTATAAATTGAATTTAACAAAGTCCTATTTTAAACATTTTTTAAATTTTCTTCTCTTTTCTTATGCTGAAAATCTTTTAAAATTTGAAAGTCCTATTTGTTAGATTTTCTTCCCATTTCCAATCGGGTTTTTTATCATCGCCGAACGTTCGATTCCTCACGCGATCAAATGGATTCTGCGTGACGGAAGATTTCGCGACTTCCGTCGGAAATCGTCGCGTAAATTTGCCTGCGAAACGACGCGTGGTTTATGGAAAATCCAACCAGCCGATAGATATTCCAATAAATCGCGATAAACCGGACGTTTCTCGCGGATTATTGCTGTCTCCGTGTGATACACGCCCGCGCGGCAGCGCGAATTGCGAATTTTCCACGTTTTCCCCCCTTCCCGCTGTTTTACGAGCCGAATTTTTCACCTTTCGAGCGCGAATTTCATGGACCTTCTGGACAGGAACAATCGAAGGATAAACGGGCCTTCACACTCCATTGATCTAATTTCGCGACTGTAATTCTCCGGTTCGCGCGAAATGTAGCAATTACGCGAAGGTTAATCTCTCATCGACCTTCTGAGGTTTCATTCGTGGCCGAGAAAATGTCGATTTGGTGAAAGTCTGATGAAGCTCTGATCCAGATTGTGCGTTTTTTTTTGTTTTTTTTTTCTTGAGCGATATTGTGGTTTTTTCTGGGGAATTATTATAGCTACTTTGACGAGCAACAATTTGAATTTTAATTCGTGTTTTAATTTGAATCGAACTTGAATTTCGATTAGCATTAGAAACTTTTCAGATCTGTAACTGCTTTCGATCGATTTTAGAAGAAAATCCGTTTAATTATTTAATAATTTTCGTTAAATTGGAAGCGAGTTGTTCTTAATATTACAGAAAATTCGTGTTTGTAACAGCTTGTTAAACACTCATTTAAAAAGAATGCTTTTGTGACTGATAATGAGATGAAGAATCTACTTGTTTTAATGAAGTATTAATTCCTCTTGAGAAGTTTTCTTTCTCCAAACATACAAAATTACAGGATAATTAGCACGTTAAAATCAACAACCTCGTCGACATTAAAGTCAGAATACATCTCTAAAAACACGAACTTTGCTCGCTAATAGTGATCAGCTATGAATATTCAAATAGACCAATAAAATTATCTCTCCAACTCTTAATAACAAAAAATGCAAATTGTCTAAATAAAAAGCTGCGAAAGTAGAGCTCTACGAAAATCTCATCATGTAAAATCACAGAAAAATAGGAAAAAAGGAAATTGACTCTTTCCAATCATCTTGAACACAATTTCCAACGTTGATCTTAACCAGAATTAACCAAATGGCCATTTTCATAAACTGTAATATAAATGAGGATTACAGGAGAAAAATATGCCAAGTTACATTTTCCTATTTTAACAGGGGCCATTTTAAAGTTAAAAAAATCTCTCAATTAATTTCGTATTACCAAAATTGTATTTTTACTTAGTTTTTGGATTAAACACGTATTTTCCTTATTATCTTGAAATTTTAAAAATTTCAAGGTGATAAATTTCTAAATTAATGTCAAAATCTGTAAACACTGAATTCCAAAAATTTTGAGTTTTCCGTTAACTTAATATTGAATAATTTTGAGATTTTCAAGAACTCAATATTTCACAATTTCCAGATTTTCAAGAACTCAATATTTCACAATTTCCAGATTTTCAAGAACTCAATATTTCACAATTTCCAGATTTTCAAGAACTCAATATTTCACAATTTCGAGATTTTCAAGAACTCAATATTTCACAATCTCCAGATTTTCAAGAACTCAATATTTCACAATTTCGAGATTTTCAAGAACTCAATATTTCACAATTTCCAGATTTTCAAGAACTCAATATTTCACAATCTCCAGATTTTCAAGAACTCAATATTTCCCAATTTCCAGATTTTCAAGAACTCAATATTTCACAATTTCCAGATTTTCAAGAACTCAATATTTCAGAATTTCGAGTTTTCCAATAATTCAATATTTCATGATTTCGAGACATTCAATAACTCAGTACGAGTGGTATTATTTGAGGTAAGCCGTGTCCAAAAGAATTCACATTTGATCGATCAATTGAACACTGATTGGTCAAATCACTGATCCGGAAAATGAACACAGGTACTTACGCACACTATTATCAGTACGTCTCCAGATCCTGATGAAGCTAGCTGCAATGCTGGCGAAACGGAATGCAAATTCTTTTGGACACGGCTTACACCCGGAAGCCTCAAATAATACCACTCATATCGATCCGGGTCGTGAAAGTCTCGAAACTCTCAATAACTCAAGATTTGCCAATTTCGAGATTTCCAACAACTCAACATTATCGACCTCGATACTCGACAATTTTCCGGTTCCTCCTCATCTCACCAAATCATTCCCCTCTTTCACACAAACTTCACACAGTTTCCCTCCGCGCCTATTTTTAAAACGCTAATAAAAACCTACACCCTTTCCACCCATGTCACACTAAATCACCCATCTCCCCCCTTCCGCCAACCAAACTACCCCAAGAAATCAAAAAATCAACACAAAGCACCATACACGCCAACACCACACTTCCCTCAACAATCTCCAAACCGATTCTTTCTCCACATAAAAAAAAAAAAAACGATTCAATTGCCACGATCAATCACCAAAAGGTGATACTTTTCAGCAGAGAGACAGAGAAGGAAGGAACAAGGGTAGTACAAGAAGAAAGACAGTACGAGGGAGAGACAGAGAGAGAGAAAAAGAGAAGAAGAGGAACGACAGTGCACTCCGTCGAATGTACATTATATCCGCGATAGAGAAAGAAAGAGAAGCTAAAGCAGGTCGGTCTTCTTACCTTCTTTAGTACTGAATCGGTTGACATCGACTTCGTTCACCCTGAGTATGACGTCACCGGCCTCGACCTGCAAAACCAACAGACACCGTTTCTATGAAAACGCATTCTGCAGAAGGATCAATTGGTCAGAGATGACGAATTGCCGCGCGAGCTAACAGAGAGAGCTCTATTTGCTGGCTCCATGCTTTCGGCAATTCGACGATAGAGAACGAACTCTGGTACGGCTGGCCAATCGCGAATGGAACTGCCATTATGCAAATCTTCCCCTGGCATATATATGTATACGCGTTTTTCTTTCGCTTTTATGGTGGTGTGTTTCACCTCACTTTCACAAGAGAAATAGTCCAGATAGTGTACCTTTATATGCATTTTATTTTAACGAGAATAACGAGAAGTTTCGATGCTCGAGGGGAAATTAAAGTTAGGTGAAAAGGTCACGTTGGACTATTTAACCGCGGTGAACTCGTCATTATCGCCTTTCCACTTCCTGGTTCTACAAATGTATTTTATGAAACGAGGAACTTGCTGGAAAAATTCAGCTGGAGTGTTTCATTTTTTTTTTTTTTAATAGTTTTGCATTATATCGAGGGTAGTTTGTCGAATGTCGAAATGAAAAATGTGTTTAGTCGGTTAATAAAAAATTAACTTTAAAATTATGAGCGAAAATGTGAAAGTTCAGTTATGTTCAATTTATATTTGACGCTAAATATTTGAATAAACGTAATCTAAGAATTTCCACATCGACAACTTTTCTCGTTTGTTAAAAAAAAAGTTCGCACACAGTAATTGTAGGAAGTAAAAGAATTCGCGTGAAATCGTGAATATAGAAACGCGAAATAATTTTTAAAAAAATGTGATTAATGTCACACGAGAAAGTCCAATCATGGCGAAAGTAAAAGTTTTCCTGTGATTGTTTTTCGAAAGTTCATACTGCCACGGCGAGAGAGGAATATCGATAGTGCAGAATAATTGCATACGATGGAGCTCTGAGATTGAATGAAAAATTGTATGAAATTCCTGGTGAATTTTGTTCATTTAAATCTTCAGCATATTGCTTCTTTGCGTCACTCTTTTGCTCACCCTGTATCTTTTTTTAAACAATAGAAACGTTAATATTCCACTATCAAAAAATTCCTTCCATTTGGAACAACACAAGTAAGTAATAAATTGCATGGTAAATAATTCCAGCTGCCCAACAGTGACCATAAATTACGAATCACTTCTAAAGGAAGATTTTGCAATTTCTCCAGTAACCCACCAAGAAAACGACTTAATCGAACAATTCCGCTTTACTCTACTATTCCCGTACTTACGTAACGCTACGTAATCTTCAAATCATCATCTGAATGGAACGGCCGAGGAAACGAACGTACTTTACATAACTTACACTCGTAACTAACTGTATCTGATTAAAACCACCACCAGCTCTAATCCTACAATCGCAATTTTCCAAATTACTCAACAGAACCACTCCTGTAAAGACAATGTTGTAACCAACGCTGTTAATAAAACTCCATCTAATACTGTTGATCCGTATTAACAAGTTTTATCGCGGGGTTACTCGATCGAAAACGGAGATAAACGCTCGCAGCGAAACCATCGTATCTTCGTTTCTAATAGAGATATCGCCGAAAACTAAACGGCGCATTATTCTACAATTAAAAACGAATCCAACGCGCCCCTTAGATTATTCGTAGGATGAACAGGAGCGGAGATAGGTGGAATTATAATTTCTGGGGTGGAGCGTGGGTGTTGAATGCTTCGCAACGCTCTGCCCCAAAAAATACAATTCCACTTATCTCCGCTCTCGTTTGACTTAGGAATAATGTAGAGGGTGCGTTGGATTCGTTTTTAAATGGCGAATAAAATGCATTCTGGCTTTTATCGCTATCTCAATTAGGGTTGAAGATACGGTGGTTTGAATTTTTACTAAATTTCGCTACGAATTTTCGTAATTTAAGGGATACGTTAGATTCGTTCTCAATTAACGAATAAAATATCTTGGAACTTTTGTCGTTATTTCGATTAGAAAAAAAGAATACGTCGATTTGAATTTGTCTTAATTTTCGCTGCGAACTTTTCGAACAACCCGATATGTACAGATACCGTAGAAAGAAGCTAGAGAGTGTATTTGAAAACGGTAGCCAACTGAAATACGAGTTTCCACGTAGTTCGAGCAGTTTACTTCGCGAAGGCTCTCGAACTTGCCTGAAAAATTGTTCCCCTATTTCTCCCTTTGCTGCGTGCCTCTACGATTTCCTACGGCTTGTCTCTCTGGGGAAATAGTCCTCTCTCGAACAGCCTGGGGAAACGAAATTGTTTACAAGAAGCCATCCGTCATGAGCGGAAAGACGGATAAGAACGAAAGCAGGTGGAAGTTCTCTGTGTGTTGGCACACGGGCAAATCCTTCCGTCTCTAACTTGGACAAATAGAGGAGCACAGCACAGCTGGCGCGTGCGAGGAAAATCGAACTCGCGCCTTGGGTAATTAAAGAATCGCTAACCGGACTTGAGATAGCGGTTCTTCGGAAAGCCACTCGCGTTCCGTGAAACAGGTAGCAAGTAAGCAACCGCAGAACTTCGAAGAACTTGTGTCAGCATTGACGATTCCTTCAATTTCTAACGACTGGCCTGACGATTTTTTATGCAAATTCAGATCTTTATGAATGTAATTTAAAAAATAGAAGCTAGATGGGCAATTGTTTTATTCGCTAAATATAGTTTTCTAATTTTGAATAGCTGAATTTCTAATAATGTTTTCCTTCAGATTTTCCATAAATGCGTCAAAATCGAGAGAGAGAGACGAGAGATTGATAGCGTTTGTTCCATTTTAGAGAACGAGTTTTTACAGTGAGTTTCAACTTTTACTTCCCCTCAAACGTCGAAATTTCTCGGAAACTTGGATTTTGTTCTCCTCAAATCTTTTTCAGAAAATTTCCACACATTTCTGCAACTCCAAAAAAACAGACACATACACGTATACACTTTTTGTTTCATCGAATTCACCAAATCGTTTAGAAATACAATTAACAGCACCTCATTAACGAACCTCGGCATTATCGCGTCGTTTTCTCTCATTCCAAAATTCCAAAATTTGGCAAATTGTTAAACGAAGCAGAGCACGACATTGGCGAAAAAGTGGGACGATAATAGTTCAAAGAAAAGGTACAAGTGAAGAAGAAGAAAATTGCAACCAAATTAATTGAACACACGAGATTGTTCGATTGAGCGTTCAAGAGGGAATAGGCAGAGAGGGAAGGTGCGGAGACAAATTTTCTGTATTTTAACGACTAAAGCCACGTCAATCACAGGCAACGAAGAGAACACGAAAACGGCGTAGAATCTCGCGGCTTTATCGCGGAAGGTGCACCGTCTGACTGGAAACACGAGGCCAGACAGGGCGCACGTAACTTGAACGTCGTATGCACTTATGCATCGTGCCTTGCGCTAACAATAAGTGGAACTGCTGCAGCGATACGTGTGCATCCCGCGCATATGCGACCGTCTCGCGCTATTGTTCCGATGCACGGCCGCTTAGCCGCGTCATACCTCCCCGTGAAACATTGTCCTCCGCCAGGAGGAAATCTTTCCGATGTACCGGGTGTGCCGAGACAACTTCCTCAACCTATTCACCCAAGATTTTTATGGAAGAAGAAGGAAATAAGTCGACTTTTTTCCATTCGTGTGCATTTTTCTATGGTAAATATTGGGATTTTGAGAAAAATGAAATGGATACGTATGTGTCGGTGTCCCTGAAGAGGTTAGTATGCTCTATTCCTCGAGGAAAATTTCGTGGAACTTACAATTCGTCGCACGATTTTTCTTCTCTTTGAAAAAGAAACAGCCGTGATTTTTGTAGAATAATAGAAAAAATTCCAGGTATTTTCAGGTAGAATTTTACCGGAGAATTAAAAAACTTTGTGATTCGGAAGATTGTAATTACGTTCGAAAAGAGTTTCCATTTAGAAGATTATAATTACGTTCGAAAAATGCCGTTCAGAAGATTATGGCTGCGTTCGAGAAATTTTGGAAATAATTGCAATACTTCGATTATTTCTAACTTAATTGCAAATTGAAAGAGAAGAAAAATTTGTGATTTAAAAAATTACAATTACATTCGAAAAATCCTGCCACTTAGAAGACTATGATTACGTTCGAAGAGTGTCATTTAGAAGATTATGGTCGGTTTCGAAAATTTTTGGAAATAATTTCGCTAGAAAAATCTGAAAAGATTTGAAGCAGAGAGATTTGCAAATTTTACACGGTGAAACTTGGGCTGAAAGTGTACAGACACCCTGTATACGCGGGGACTGGGTCAGTTTGTCCGTGCAACGCGAGTCTCCGTGTTCACGAGTACATTATCCACAGCGCAGGCTAATTTCCTCGGTAATTTAATTGCAATTGCCCGGTGACGTTCGTCGTATTTCAACGCTCACGGTATATTTACCGCTTACAACTCGTAGACGCGTTACGTGTGTTCCTAAGCTCGGATTATCATGCGTATGGAAGCTGATATTACTATTTCAAAGGTGTCATAACTATCGGTGTATTCAGGAAGCGTATAAACGCGATCGTAAACGCCCCCCAGATTCAATTCGTCCTCCAGTTTCACGAGAAATTTCACGGAAATCGTCGATAAACTTCGTGCCATCTTCTTTCCAACGCTTCATCAAAAATAAATCGAAAAAAAAAAGATACGGCGGATAACGATTCGATAAAGACAAAATAGGGTCCGAAACAAGAATTTCCAGACTCTGAGTTGAACAATTTATTGCAATCGAATGGACAAAAAAAATTCACAAGGTAAATTGAAAAGTTTTTTGATAAAACTGTAATAAAAAGGAAAATTGTCGATGGTTTCAAAATTATTAAGCTGTGTGATTTGATAAAAAAATTTTAGAACGTAAGTTAGAAATTTTTGGTTTCAAGTGATCTGGAAAAGAAATTGCTATTCTTCGTGTTGAATGTATAATCGATGCGAGTGAAGATTAATTTAAATACCGCAGAGTAGAGTGATAAATGTGTGGCGATTTATGATGCTCAAGTTAAAAGGTACATCAACGTGTG